TCGGTTCTCCGCCTCCTTTTTCCCGGCGGCCAAAGGGCCGTAAACTTCATTACAGTGGTGCCGAAGCCCGGGAGAAGGAGGGACGCGTTGTCCAGATGCCCTCGCCGCCGAGAGAGGGGGCGAATGTTCGGGAGTTAACCCGAGTGGGGGAGAAACCCGTTCGTCTGCCCAGAGTGCCGAGGCGGCCTGAGGCTGGCGAGGAAAGCATCTGCCTGCTGCCGTCTCCCAGCATGGGGAGGAGCAGGGGACGCGGGGCTCACCACCGGAAGGGAAAGAGCTGAAGGGAGCCATCCCACAGAACCCGGGGGAGTCGCCGCGATCCGCCATGATGCCAGAGCCTGCATCCATCCACCGAAGTGGGAGCGGAGCAGGAGACCAGAAATGCCGCCAGCCAGCCAGGAGAACCGCCGCCGGACGGCAGAAGACGGACGGGTGGATAGATTCCTCCACAGGGCTCCCAGCACGTCGTCGCATCTCTCAGCTGGTGGAGGACCGAGTGGCAGCGTGTCTGGAGAACCGAACCCCAATTTTTTTTTTTTCCTCTCTCCCCTTTCTCGGTCTACTCTGTCTTTCCTCCTTTTTTTTCCATCTCCTTTTCTCTCGGCCCGTCTCATATAGGTCTCGCGGGTGCTGTGGCGCCAAACCCCCCCCCACCCCCCCGGAGTATGCACAGCCACGGGGTGCCCCCAGCCTGTAATGGGAGATGGGGGTATGTGGCGAGGGGGCGTGGCCGAGAGCCGTGGGAACGGGGTGAGGCCACCGCGTAAGTGGATACACGTGCGGTGCGCACCTGCCTCGGATCCCACGGAAGGAGCTCTGGACAATAAAGGGAGGACCGATGGCAGAGGAAGCCGAGAGAGGACCGGGCCCGGGCATATTGTTTTACTTTTGCTTTCAGTTTGACGGCAGTCTCCGCGAGGAGCTGCCGTCCGTTTGTTTTGGTTTAAATGGCAGTCTCCGTGAGGAGCTGCCGTCATTATTATTAATAAATATTTTAAACCTGCGTCGGTTCTCCGCCTCCTTTTTCCCGGCGGCCAAAGGGCCGTAAACTTCATTACATGCCGATTTTGTTCTCTTTGATAGAAACGATGCTTTAGTCGCACATCTTTTATGCAATGTTCCTGGCTTGTGCACAAATTTCATTCACATCTTTAAAAAGAAACATATCTTATGTAATTTAAATTGTAAAGCTGCTACAGCGAGTAAACAGAAACAGTGTACTGCTGCATTGGTGCAGTGGGTGGAAACGTGCAGATTAATAGTCACTTGGAGAGTCAAATCTTTTCCACATGCTTGCAGAAAAAGGCTTTCCAAAACAAAATTAATGGGTTGTCTCTTTCTAAGTATTCTTGGTTGGTAGATGCACCGGGGACCCAATTATAGGACTTAAACAATGCAAAACTTTGAATCTCATATGCCTGCTTATATACAGATATTCTGTTATATGATAATTACAGTCCAGTTCATTGGTTTTAAACTCTGTTTGTTGACGAGTTTAGAAGGATAAAATGTTCTTGCTTTGCTCATTTAGTCCTCTGATTTCCCTCAGGGCTAAACAAGATCTCTGCGTGCCTCCGGTTCTTTCGTTTTTCTCAGCTCTTTGAAATAAAGTATGGCCGTAAGCTTCTCATCTATCAGCTGAAAGACGTTTCGTCAATGTGTACCACCTCAGATGTTCGCAGATTAATATTCATAACGCTGCCCACGATGTGGTTCATCTCAAAACAATGGGCAACTGTCTGATGAAGCAGGTGAGATGGAGGTCAGGGAGCACTGTGTTTTCAGCATATGGGAAATTACAGCAGGTGTGTGTCCAATGGACCGCCAATTTAATAACAGCACCGTCCACCTGGACACAGGTGGGATCATTTTGGTGCATGTTCAGGCAGAGTGATCACATTCAATCTTATATGAAACCGCAGCAAGAAGGTTGCTGATTCGAGTGCCGGCTGGGCCATGTTGTCCCCATGTTCACGTGCTCCTGTTTCCCCTACAGTCCAAAGACATGTGGTACAGGTAAATTGGGTAAACAAAACTCCCCGTAGTGTCAGAGTGTGTATGTGAATGCAAGAGTGTATGGGTGTTTCCCAGTACTAGGTTGCGGCTGGAAGGATTTCCGCAGTGTAAAACAAATGCTGGAATAGTTAGTGTGGCCGACTGTAGTTTATGCTTTAAAGTAAATGCTTTTCAATCTCTTGCATTAGATTAGGTCAGTTTTTAATCAAATAAAAAAATACTTTTATTCAGCAAGCAATTGATTGATTAAAAGTAATAGTGATTTTCATAAACAAGTCAACAGCTATCAGTGTATTTGTGCGTCAAAAAACAGGCAACTGTCTGACACTGTACAATGAGGTGAAATCGACTGCAGATTTTCATTAATGCGCTTAGAATATTTGCGGTTTCTGAGGTTGTGGATTACAGGAAGTAGTGTAAAAAATGATTATACATGACATGTGAAGGATGTAATGTGTTATATGACAAAAAAAATGGAAACATTTTGTGTTTGGCATCGAAACCTGGCTCATATTTAGACACACTTTTTTTTTAACATATTTGAAAGCTGATCTCAGAGGAAAATAGTCAGAACATGAAACGGTGAGAACCATGCAAAACCGGAATTACAGGTTTTCAGATTCTGTGGGTGTTATTTTACAGTTACATGAACCAAAACTGCATTGAAAGATTACTTAATCCTACACTGGAAAAATGATTCATTGGATTTATAATTTTTTTTAAGGTAAGTGGTTGCAAACTTTATATGGGCTGAATTTAAACAAACAAATGAAGTTGAACATTAATAAATTGAATATATTTGTTTAAATTCGACCCTTATAAATTGTTTGCTACCCCTTACCTTAAAAGGCACCTTTATCCCCCTTTTTTCAAGATTTAAGACAAGTCTTTTGTGTCTCCAGAATGTGTATATAAAGTTTCAGCTCCAAACACCCATCGGATTATTAATTAAACCTTTAAGAATAATGTAATTATTTTGCTTTGAACACGCTATAGCTGTTTTTGTGGCCTGTGCCTTTAATGCTAGTTCTCCCCGCCCACTATTCCCACGTGCCTGTCAGCGTCAGATAAACAGCACAATGACAGACATGAGGGAAGCAGATCTCAGGTAACATAAGAAAAACTAAAGTAAGAACTATCCCAATGATTATTTGATGTATTTGTTGAATTAATTCAAGCCTTTCTGCAATGATAAGTCACACGCAATTTTGTTACAAAGTTCACGCACACACAAACACACACATACACAGCGAGCGTTTATCTTTAGCAAATGTGACAGGATACACATTAATATCTACTGCTGTATGGATAACCCTTATGTTAATGTACAAAATCAACCTGATTTAACGTTAACAAACCGGGATTGAAGCGTCTTCTTTTATTATTGTACTGACATACGGCTGTGGTGATGAATTACAGCGATTTTACCATCTTTAACTAACTAATTACAAACATGCATTGTTTTAAAAAGTTTTAAGCTTGTAAAACTCATTCTTGATCACATTCGATGATGATTGATGATCACAGAGCGCTGAACAGATCTTTTAATCCTGGTTTCTTTGTGCACGTCTTGTTGATAGGATTATACGCAGGACTTAATCTGTGCCGGAACAAGCAGGATCCTCATTTTACAGATTCCCCTCCTCAACTGCCCCTTTCCCCGTCCGCTGTTCACTTTCACTTTCTTCCGCGACTCCCCAACCCTCTTCACTTTTATCTGCAACCCCCCCTCCTACCCCCTTTAGTTTTGTGCACGACACCTCTCATTCCTCGGGTAACATGCCGGATCCATTAACCCAACTGTTTTGGGACTGAATTGATTATACGCGTTAATACGGAAACATGTTAACATCGTTAATGTTAATACGCGGCTGTCAATTAATTTGGTGAGCGGGGAAACCCCACTCCTACATCACGTTGTGGTGGGCCTCAAAATGGGAGGGATTTGGATCCTATTTTAACGTCAGGAAATTAAAAAAAAGAGACTTATTGTGCTTATATTAGCCTAATATGACTGTGGGCACACTATACCTACACACTGTTTTGTTTAACAGCAGAAAAGTGCCCTTTAAAAAATTTAGTAAATTCAATGAGTATTTTTTTCTTCAGTATATATGAGCCAGAGATAATCTGGCATGCAGACGCGAGGGATTTGGTCATTTTTCTGAAACGTCCAATTAAAATCACATAAACGCATCTCTCGTTATCACTCACACGCTAATGACAAACCCTCGGGTTGTCGACCCCATGAACCAAACTGTCTCTTTCTCGTCCAGCGCTCCCTCATTAACACATCGTCTCTGTTCCTTCGTTACTCTCGTTTTCCTTTCATCCTCATTCCCAGCGGTCTCCGTTTCAATTCGGTTCCCTTATACCTCCAGGCGGATTAAACAGACCGACATCAGACGCTCTGAGAACACGGTGCACTTACAGGCATTAACACACTCTAAAACAATACTCTCTTGTGTGCGCCAACACGTATGACTCTTAACAGCACAAACACACACTATAAGTTCAGATAATGTTACATGAAGTGAACCAATGCGCTACTAAATCTGTCAGTCTTGGTCGTGGCACAGAGACGGCTTTCATAGCAGGCACCATTTCAGCCTTGCCGGTCATTAGCTTTCATGTAGTGTTATTTCAGCAGTGCCGGTCACTCACCGCTGAGGGACAAACTGTAGAAAACTATTACATTACTGTCAGTTACGACATGGCAGAGCGTCTACGTATGAATTACCAAGCTTAAATTATTCATCGATTGATTCCGATGTGTGTGTGTGTGATTTGAGGCAGCGAGTTGGATTAAATGCATTGTTTATATGGAGATTTGTTGGATGGCTTTCATGGCTTTGCATTATTAAAGACTTGGCCTTTTACTGAGGGCATCCATTCAGATAAATGTGCGGCTGTTGGGATTGGTTGATTTTTTTTTCCTGCTGGTCTCTGATTGGCTGTTGTCTCTGTCTTTGTTTTTATTGCAGTTATGAGGAGGAATCCATTCGCAGCAGAGGGCTGCTGTCGGAAAGGCTCCAGAAACGCCCTACAGGAGCTGTACAACCCTACACAGGTACTAGAACCAATTTTTTGGAATCTTAAAGGTAGTAAAAATGACAGTAAAAAGTAATTTTAGAGTTTAAATATAAACATCAAAATATTTCATTTCACAGTTTACACACTGAGTTTTAGGACCTTATCATACACCTGGCGCAATAAGGCACACAACGTGTATGGCGTGATTAGTCACTATTTTCAGACCAGTTCAACAGTAATTTTCACGTTTTGTGCCGTGTTGTTTTAATAGCAAATTCATTTAAACCACTTTGTGACTCTGGTCTGAAAAGGAGGTGTTTTAAGCTGCATTGTTGGTGTGAAACTCAAATAGACCGCGCCAATGACCAACTAAAAGCTGGTCTAAAGTCCAGTGCAGACCGCGTTAGTTATGTGCCTATGCAGGTTCAAACGTTTACACTTTGCTTAATACACACAGGATGTACAGCACTACGCAAATATCTTTACAAATGAAAAGAATAAATGATTACAATGTTACAAAAAGTATTATTTTCTACATAAATATTAAAACCACTGCTTTTCACTTTATTTATGACAATTTGTATTTGTATAATGTTATTATTATTAGTAGTATTTATTATATGCATATTTATATTTGTTTTAATTACAACAAGTTTACATTTACAACCTGTCGGGTTTTGGAGACGTATGTGTCACTATATGAGTGTTTCTTGACCACGCTTTGTTATTATTGCTCATTTATTTGTTTGCTGCAAATTGGAACTGAATTTGGAAATAGTTTTGAAACAAATCTTTGCGCTTAACAAACAAAATTAAATATGTAGGCTAAAGGATGTCTTCAGTGGAGTGAGTACAACACCGTTTCCTTATCTACGAAAGTAAAAAAGTAATGTACAGAGTACAAGTAAAGTAAAACGAAAGTAAAGAGGCTGAATGGAAGAGGTTTGTTAATCGTCCTCATGTTGCAGATGCTCCGTTTAACTGTTTTCTCGCAAGTGAAGTGTTCAGTTTTTCCACTTACAAAGTCCGCCATGTAAATTATAATTATAGATAAAATTATAAATTATAAAAATAAAATAAAATTTTTATAAAATTATAACTGAGATCACACTGATGATTAATGATAAATGAATTACAAATGTTGTCAGTTGGCATTTCTGTGTGGAGTTTGCATGTTCTCCCAGTGTTGGCGTGGGTTTCCTCCGAGTGCTTCGATTTCCCTTACAGTCCCTCACTATAGGTAAATTGAATAAGCTAAATTGGCCGTAGTTTATGTGTGTGAATGATTGTGTATGGATGTTTCCCAGTAATGGGTTGCAGCTGGAAGGGCATGTGCAGCGTAAAACATATACTGGATAAGTTGGCGGTTCATTTCGCTGTGGCGACCTCAGATTAATAAAGGGACTAAGCCGAAAAGAAAATGAATTAATGAATATATTCGATTGTAAAAAATGGAGGAGGTATGAGGTTAAAATATAAATTTACCAATTAAAGGAAATAATGATGGCATATATATATAATTATGAGGTATTGAAACATTACCATAATGGTTCTGTTACAACATGCACCAATCATTAGCTCACAGCATCATGCACTAGGCAAAGAAAACATGGTCGAATTTGATATCCTGCATTTACAAATTTGGAGTGTTTTCAGCATTGAGGTCAGCAGGAGCAGAATCACCTCTGGACCTCCAGTGAAAGCCTTGCGCGCGTTTCTATAGAAACCATAAGAGCACTCATATTTCATCTCCAATGTAAAACATGCCCGTCTAGAGCTCACCCGAGTCGATACGCTCCACCAACAAAGCCAACATTATGCCAGGATTGATTTGATCTGCTTTAATTTCACCCTTCCCGCTCTTTTGTTTCTCACGCTCACCTTCCTGCACCTCCACCTTTTCGGTGATTGATCTGTTCTTCATCGCCCCACCGATCGCCCTGTTCCAGAAAGCAGGGAAAGAGGGCGTATCGGTAATAGTTTGTTTTCATCTCATGTTTGGAAACTCTTTCACCTTGAGAACGCAGTCTCAGCGCTGTCAGAGCGTTCTGGAAGCTGAGAACTACGAAATGTCACAGCCTGAGCACTACGTGCTCTCATCTGACACTACAAACACACACACATTTGTCTGTTTAACCACTTTAGATGGATTTATACAGAGCTAATGTAATGGTATTTTTTTTATTCTACGATGGAATATGCTGCGAGTTCTGCATGAGTTAAGCTCATCTGTGCTTTCATTTTGATGGCCTGTCACTACTTTTTGATAAGAATGCTGAACTTTTGGACTCAATGACCGGAAATACTCACCGTTAATATACTTTAGACAGAAAATGTAATGTGTAAATGTGAAACAATTGGCACTTGTGTTTTTATATTTCATTTAAACTCCATTGTTTTGATCCATTGTCATCATGACAAAATATGATAAATTGTAACATTAAAAAATGATTTAAGTACTTTTACACCTTGTTTTAAAGGTGTTGAATACAAATGACAGTTCTGTAAAAAAAATCCCAATTCTTAAAGAACAAACAAATAACAACAAACACATTTCTATGCACAAACATAGTCACGTCGTCTGCTATTGTTAACTTACACAGATACACAAAGAAATAACTTAATAACTACAATAATTTGACTATTAATTGAATTTTCATTCATTCCTTCATTTTCTTTTCGGCTTAGTCCCTTTATTAATCCGAGGTTGCCACAGCGGAATGAACCGCCAACTTATCCAGCACGTTTTACACAGCGAATGCCCTTCCAGCCGCAACCCATCTCTGGGAAACCTTCTGCTCACTGTGATATGTATCTGTTTGCACAAGCTCTGCAATTCACAGGACTATGATGATCTGACCATAAAGTAGCCTATATTTGAGACTAAGGACTAGATCTGTGAATATATAGTATGGATGAATCCCTTTTCTCCTACTTTCAATGTTGTGTTCATTTCATGTGTCATATATAATGGACGAGAGCTTCTCTAGGCATTTTTTATGACTGTAAATGAAAAGGAAGCAGTTTTACTCGTTCCGACCACTGTACTGTTTCTTGTGTAGCTGGTTTTAGTTTTAACTGTCCTTGTAAGGACAAAACCTGACCACCACACACACACACACACACACACACACACACACACACACACACACACACACACACACACACACACACACACACACACAACCACACACTCTGTTTTAATGTAAAATCCCAGCTAAGTAAATCCCTGGTGGATCCCAAGTATGTCTGAATACATGTACAGTATATTTTGACTGTGCTTTCCATATGCAGCAGCACGAATGTAAAGTTCCATTCATTTCTTTTCCACAAATATGAGGCTTTCTTTCTGACCACTCGCAACGCATTTGCCATACGATACACATGAAGGACAGAGTTTCATTGAGTTCGGGGACATTTTTACAGGGTAGATTTTGAAAGGCCTTTGCTTATCTTGTGAATTTCAATACCCTCTGCACACACACACACACACTCATGCATACACCGTATAAAGGAGATTCATGCTACTGTAGGCGCTCAGATAAACACTTAACAGCCAGGAATTCTGTGCACTGTTATGATGCTGTAATGTTCAACAGGCATCACACGGCACACGCGGTAAAATGCAGTTTTACTGCACTGCTTTTATTATTCCGCCAGGGAAACGGCGACAGGTACTAAAATCATTACACAGAGACTATTATAGCAGATTATTCTGGCTCTTTCTCGCTCTTATTCTTTTACAGGCTGTTCGCCCTGAGCAAAGCTCTTTAGTCAGCCTGTAATGTGCCTTTATTCGGCTTTTACTGACCCTGCTGGGTAATGAGACTTTCACTTCCGCTCCCGCTTTGTGGGAATGAGCAGGACGGTCTGAGAAGCGTCTGCTCGGTAAACGTTAGCGTCTCGGGTGTAATGAGCACACATGAGAGAGATGGAGCTCGGCTTTTAAGTCTGGGGGTGTGTGGAAATTCAGAAAATAAGCGTGATAATGAAAGTTATGACAAGATAAAACTATTTTATATGCTTCAGTTGGATCGTTCAGGACTTAAAAACAATGGATTAAGGAAAAAAAAAACCTAAGTAAGCTTAAAAGTGAACTGTATGAAGCAAAACATCATGAAAAACCCCTTAAAATGGAGTACTTCATATATGTTTGGCCTTTCGTTTCAACAACAGAAGTGTTTTAGATGCCTAAAAAAGTGCTTGACAACCTTAACAACAGGACTGCATGTGTGCAGTGTGTGGTGTTTCTTTAAACGTTTGATAATTATGATTAAAACTGATGCTGGTGAAAGAATTGACATCAATGAAAGATATTTTTATGACATTTTTGTTCATTATGAAACAAAGTGTTCATTTTTTTATATACATATGAATATATGAATGGAAAATATGAATGCCTAAAATTGAATGGTGCTGTGTTTTATTGACAAATCCAAGACTGTAATAAACAACAAAAAAGTCTGCTTAGCATTTACTGTTTAAAATTACTAATATCTTTTTATGTTATAATATCTTTTATATAGTAACACCACACAGGCATTTTGTAAACAAACCAGCATTTAATTTTAGAAAATGTAATGAATGTTGGTTTGGTTGAAAAAACTTACATCAGTGAAAGTAGAAAAATATGAATAAAGTATATTTTAATGATTGGCTGATAGCTGTCATATTTCACTGTGTTGAAACATTTCAAAACATATTTTTGAACATGGAGATTTTTGTCCATCATGGACCCGAGTGTTGGTTTTCTTTTTTTAAAAATATTAATTGACAAATCAAAAATCTGTCGTACTAGACCAGACAAACCAGCATTTAAATTGTTAAGCTTCAGAAAGTGTATCAAATAGTTCTAATTAGTTAACTAATTGACTGATGCTGTTGAACATTTTTTGACCATTATGGACCCAAATGGGCTGCATTGTGGCACATTAGGTAGCACGTTCACCTTACAGCAAGAAGGTTGCTGGTTCGAGGCTCGGCTGTGTCAGTTGGCGATTCTGTGTGGAGTTTGCATGTTCTCCCCGTGTTCGTGTG